AACACAGGCAGAAAGTCAGTGTTTTCTACCTGAACTGGGCAAAACAGACATTCTGAGAGCACAGCTGTATCTGTGGATTTGTTTCACCTCCACAGCCCATCTCACCAGTGTTACTGATGTCCTCACACAGCCTTTGCACTTTCTTGTCTCCAGCATGTCCCCAGGTGTTGATGCTTAGTAAGTGGATGCATGAACTGCATGCAGACCCCAGTGCCTGGCCTGAGCTTAGCACAGCCTCCTCTGTCAGAACACATCTGCCTGGGTTGTACTGTAGTCAGAAAGTAAAAAAAACTGGACAAACAACTGAAAAATAATCTCTTTTCTCTTCAAAGCTGATTTTCTCCAGTGCTGGTCTCTTCTCTGGCACATCATCCTCTTCACTGGGCCCACATATCTTTGAGAGTATTTCTGGAACTGGAGAGGACAATAGTTAAGTTTCCTTCCAGACTGCTGGAGCACATCCTGCCCCTGTGAGCCCAGACCTCCTTTCTCAGCACTGTTTTTCCCTGTGAGGATTCATCAGTGCAATTCCCTTAGAGTGGCCACTAAGTCCCATGGGGAAGAGATATGGTGATGATGACTTTGTTTTGTTTTGTTTCAAATAAGATTTTTTGTTGTTGTTGTTCCAGATTGTGGTTTGCTAAGAGAAAACTGGGGCATTTGATAGGTGGGGTGCTGCTACTGGGATGACTTTTCAGCCTGTTTCATATGGGAGTCTGCATTTTTGACCAAGCTGTTTCTCTGTCTCAAGAGAAAGCTGAAGGGTGTAAAAAACCCCCAGTCAGTGAGCTCATATTGCAGTGTATGTCCTATGTGCCAGCACCTCCACAGACACCTGGAAGAAATGCTCCCAGACATGGGCTCAGCCAGCTCTGGATGAGTTGGACCCAGCTGTGGAAAGCTTCACAGCTCCTCCCTTTCTCTCTTGCAACTGGGCAGACGCTCACAGTGGTAAATACCATGCCAAGTTTTGGCTTTTGAAACACAGTGTAAAGCAGGTTTGGAAAGCACAAATAACCATTTGTCTCCGTGCTCTTTCCCTAGAAGTGCCCTCCATGCTTCTCTGGCCTTGCTAGCATCATCCATGGCCCTATCAAGACTGGCCACTGAAGCAGCAGTGTCCTTTGCAGAGGGACTGTGCTCTCCTGCTGCTCCACTGGCTCTGGCTTGGTGCTCCTGAGGGTCTGCTTTGTTGCTGTACTAGTCACACAGCTGGCGAGCCGCTGACTAACCCCTGAAACCTCACAAGGATGGAGATCTCCCACCACCCCAGTATGCTGTCCCAGGGCTCCACAACCCTCTTGGGGAAGGGGTTTCTCACAGTGTCCACCTGAATCTCCCAGGCCTTCCCTTCTGCAGGAAGACAGGAAATTTCAGTAGAAGTCCTGCTTTACTAAAAAGGGGAGCTTCTTGCACTATTTTTTTTAAAAGAAAGCATGTAAGAATGGGAATTAAAATAGACAGCAAAAGAATGCTGTAAACATTGTTTGCTTGGATACTTAGAGGTGGTATCCGGCAGGTCAGACTAGTCAAGATTATCATAGTGCAATGGGACTCTTCAGGCATGCTAGAAGTTGGGGAAAATGCACATCCACTGAGGGATGAAGGAGACAGCATGGTACTAGACAACATGGAAAAGACTACAATGATCAATGGATTTTTGTAGCATCTTCATGTTCAAAGCCTGCTCCCAGATCTCTCTGCATTCATCAGAATGGTCTGGGAAGGAGATGGGAGGGCTGAGCTTGGGGTTTAAGGACTGCTTAGAGAGGCTGGAGACATACTGATGTCACTGGAATGGATGCCACTCACTCATAAGAGCTAACAGTGTTGGTTGATGTGAATGAAGCTGCTGTCAGTCACAGTGGAATATCATGGCAACTGAGAAAGGGACGATTGAAACAACTAATATTGCTCCCACCTTTAAGAAGGGCATGGAGAAGGATTTGGAAAACAGCAGTTTGTAAGCAGTACCTCCATTCTTGGAAAAATAATGGAGCAACACTTCTTGGAGATCATTTTCAAGCATGCGAAGAGCAGGAAGGTAACCAGGAAGAAGCCACAGGTCCGGGCTTTGGATTTGACCCCAGTCCCTTATTTTCCCCTCTCAGCAGTTCACTGCAAGATCTAGTGCAGGCTTGAGAAGTCCATCACCTCTGACTCTGCAGAGATCTTGTCTCTGTGCACTCATAGGCATTGCTGCTAGTAAGATTGAGAGCAATGGATGGAAAAAGGAAAACAAGCTCCAGGAGCAGGGCTTCTGTCTTGGATAGACAGAAAACAGAAGTCTTTCATGGGTGCATCGTCCTTGAGTGCATAGACATCCTGCAAATGGGATGTAGGCAGATAAGAACAGATCCAGTGTCAGCACTGCTGTGCTAAGACACAGAGAAAGAGCAAAGGGCAAGCACACCCACTTCATACTCCTTCCAGAGGGGTGAAAAGGGCCAGCAAACCCCAGCTTAGTCCCTTTCTTCCTTCTAACTACAGCCACTTTTTTGTTGTTTTTGTTTTGGTTTTTTTTTTCCCCATGGGCTGGAGAACAGGAAGGTGTAGCAGGGTAAACACATCAGATAAATGTTGGAGACCTCTGCTCACCCTTCCTGGCTGTTGGCAGGCAGGTGGAACTGGAGGTGGGAAAGGAAGCTCTGCTAGAGCACATATGGTCTCACAGGGAAAGGGTCAAGGGACCCTTTACAAGCTATATGCTGACCTAGGCCAGGGAAGCCTTGGCAACCAGTGGGGAGAAGGGTGAAATCCTATAGACCCTTCTCAGCTGCTGCTTCCAGCAAGGGGCAAAATTTCCACACAAGGCTTCTTCCAGCTACTGAACTATGTGACTCCTGCCCATTCCTCACCCACCCAAGCAGAAGAGGGGAGGAACAGCTCAATACTCTGGGGACAGGAGACCCTCTCAGACCATTTTTGGCCTGTAGATACCAAACTTAAAACCATGAGAAAAAAACACCCATGATTCCTGTGCAACACCTTTCAGGATCCAAAAGCCAGTGAAAGGTGCCACAGGGACCACCTACCCTCCACCACCAACATCCCCATCCAAGTCCTCTGCTACACCCTGATCTGCTGGCAACCTCCATACAGTGGTGCTCCTGCACTGTCCCCACCACCCTGGTAGCCAGCCCTGGGGTGATGAAATAGGCAGAGGCCAGTGCTCTCTTTCAGAGCCCTCTGTCAGTATGGTCTTCAGAGCATGCCTTCAAGCAACTGTAGGGGTTTGGGGATGTCCTACTCCCTGTGCCAGCCTGGGCCCCAGAGGCTGGTAGCTGGTCCCAGGTAGCTCTTAACAAGCCCACCTCTCCCTGCTGAGGGGGGACCTCATGCCCGCTGCCTAGCCTTAGACACCGTCTTACAGCCAGGAAGCCAGTTTCTTCCATGGAAACTGTTTTCATGAGAAAGTGACAAGGAACACAAGCAAACGTTTGCATCAGTTTCCCAGGAAAGACTTCATTTCCACACTCTAGCCAAACCCACAAGCACCTAGGGAGCAAGCAGTGGCCTGTTTCCCCCAAGCAGCCGACAGCCTGGATGAGGGCTTGTATCCCCTGACTGATTTCAGGAGGGGTTTGCATGCTGTCCCCCTACGCAAGACAAATGAACCACCCTACGGTTTTCTGGTGTCATATGAGGACTCTTGGATCTGTTTCTCTAATACCAGTGAAAATTTGGCAGTGCAGCCAGAGAATTCACTGGGGGTGGGGGGTGTGCAGCCAGAAGAGGGGAAAGCTGGAGAAAGTTAATGCAAGGAGGCCAAGGCATGGCCCAGTCCACCCCATCAGCCAGAAACCCACCCAGCCGGATGGGTAATTCAGATTAATGCTGCCAGACATCATAACTGAAAATACTTTATTTGACATCAATAGTAAAGTAGGAACATCGGATTATACATCCGTTGATATATAAATGATAAAAATGCAAAAGCAAAACCATCTACAGGAAACCCATAAGCAGTCCAGTATAGAAGTAACAATCCAGGGAAAAGCTGCATGCCAGGACCCTCCCTCATCCTAACAAGCAAGATAATCCCAAAGAAACCAAGCATTAGCATTTCCTTTGCAGCTATTTGTTCTGGGTTTCAACTGTTACACATGGTATCACTTTGAGTGTTGCTACCACTACTGGAGAAGAAAAAAAAACACCACCCACCACAGGTCATGGCCAGAATCCATTTCTGTGCAACATGAGCATTTGTAGAAAAGCACCCTGAAAATCCCAGGGACATTTCATGGCCAGGTTGAGTCAAGAGCATTTTTGTGAGTTTGAGCAATACAGTTTACACAGGGACAATGAGATCTGGAAATCATGGGTCAGCACCCTAGCAATGAAAGGCAGCTTCGTCTTTTAGATGGCTTGTGGCTTTAGCATAAGAGAAACCAAGCAACAGTTTCTTGCACCGCTAGTCTCTCTGCTGAAAATAGTTTTCAGGTTTCCTGGTTTTCCAGTTTCCATTGCTCCCCTCTTTCAAGGCACATATATAGAGACCTTTGACTGTAACAGTCAGAAGTAAGTGCTCAGACCACTTCCATGATATTCAATTACAGTATACAGTGAAACAAGTTGCTACACTACTTTTTTCTAATCTTTAGAGAATCCTAAGGCAAGGAAACCCCTCTGCCAAAACCAACTCAATTACAACAGGTAGCCCCCCCTTGCATAGCCTGTTAGCAGACAGACACCACTACAGCTGAAGGTCCTAACTCTTCAATCTACAGAAGGCTCAGCCCAAAACTGAGGTCCTCTCTGCAGAGACCTGGGATTTTCAGTGGAGCCTCAATGGGTTTCGGTGCTGATCTGCCACCCGTGGGAGTGGGGCCCTGTTTCTAAGGCACCTTTGAAAAAATAAAAATTTAAGTCCTTGCCTATGTCTCATTACTGGTGCAGACCACAGCTACATTGATGTTTTACAGGTAGACATTTGACCTGATTTCTGTAACACATCCTCTTCTTTTACCCAGCAAAAGCTGGAGCATGACCTAACAAAATTAAATGCAATGATAAGCACAAGAGACCAGCTCTTAAACACGACTACTTCCTTGTGCTTTGCTCCTGCTCCACGAAAGCCCACCTTTGCTCAGCTCCCAGCATGATGCAGCAAATGTGGCCAGGAACAGCTTTTAAGCTAAGAGTGTGAACACCTTTTCAAAGTGAGACTGAAAAGGCAGCTATTTGTCTCCCCAGTAATTAAAGTCTCTGTGCATACTTTGAGCCACCTCTGGCCTAAGAGGAAACACACTGTCCCCTAGCCCCTGCAGGATCCCACCCCTGCAGTGCAAGGGTTCAGCAAAACCTTCAGGTCTCAACAACAACAACAAACAACAAAAAAAGGAAGAAAAAAGAAAAGAAAAAAAAGAGGCAGTGCTGAAGATGATCCCCAATACAACAAGCGTCCCTGATTTTAACAGCCTTCAGCACAGGCCAAGGAAGTGCAAATTTCTGTGGTCAGAGCTGGTGGGAAAGTACTCACCAGAAGGAAGTCAGTTCTCAGTTCTGGCTGAGAGCTTTAAATCACTTAAACCAACTCCAAGGGTGGCAGTGCCTGAGGCTTTCATACGGTCACGGGAAGGAAAAGCAGGGTGTCTGTACAGGTGGTGCCCTGATGTACTGACAAAAAGTAGTACTCCAAAACACGCATGTTCCTCAAAGCCTGAAAAAATCAGAAGGGAATTTCCCAATAGAGGACACACATTGCAACAGGCTTTAGGCAAAGAAAAATCGGTTGGATGTCAGCCCTGCTGTGAGTGTCTCAGCACCGCAGGAGATTTCATGGACAAATAGCAGAGCAAATATAATACATGGCTTCTATATAATGACGCACATAAAAAGCCTACTAGTCTTAAGATAAAAGAGGCCTTGAATCATTTCCTATTATGCTGCACCCTAGTTTAATCTAGTATTAAATATACTGCTTATAATATAAAAATTACTTTTAAAAGTTATTAAAATGTTACAACAATAACAAAAGTAATAAGTGAATTCAAGTTTTATGCATGACCTTACAATAAAAATTTTGGGTTTAGGAAGCTTCAGACAGTGTTTAAATAGTGTGGTAACTTTCAACCACTGTTAACAAGTGTCAGCAAATTTTACGGCCATAATTTCATCACACAATTAAATTAATTCATCTTTATTTCAGGGAAAAACCCATACCCCCCCCAAAACCCAGGTATTGTTGTGCTGAGGCAAAAAGTCACTATCACATCCAGAAATAAGGTTATCTGAAGCCAGCGGTTTCTGCAGATGCCATCTATGTATCTCCCACCCTATGCAGAGAGCTCACTGGAAAGTTCTGGCAAGCTCTGGCTCAACTCACTCAAAGTCTCCTTTGAGACTAAAAGAAATAATTACATTCATTGAATCCAGACTTGGGATGTTCAGCATATGCTCTGCACACAGAGAAGATGTTTGTTTTGGTCACTATGAGAAAAAAAATATATGATATTGTCTCCATTAAAAAAAAAATCACATCCAAAGCATAAACTTGTACAATTTTAGCAGCATTTTACAGTCCTTCATAAAGTAAAACTAGGAATTAATTAAGAGGAATGTTTTCATCCACCTCATTTAAAATACCACCAAGTATAATGGGCAGTAATTGCTGATGCATCACAGTTGTAATCAGTAAAATTTGGGTCTAGCAATCAACTCAACGTGGAGAGCAATGCAGCAAATAGATCAGATTCAACATTTTCTGGCAAAGTAAATATTTACAACTCTTATGTACAGCTTCTGGACTTACAAAACAATGGAGAGCTAGAAAGTTGTGTAAAGTCAAGTCTGGAATTTAAAAAAGAAAAAAAGCACTTGCCCAACCAATTTGGAGACGCTTTGGCATACCAAAAGAGGCCTTTTTTTTTTTTTTTCTCCTCATTGCAAATGTTATGAAACCAGCAGACAGAAAGCATCAATGAGGCCAGATGTCCTGGGCAACACAGGCAAGGTCTCTCTTGTGTCTGTGATGTTAGCTATTTGGTGAGCCAATGTCCACTGTGATCTTTGTATACAGAGGGTACTTGTCAGTTCTTAACACCTTGTAGGATAGTGTATTTAAGCCGTCAGAGCTCATTGTCTCCCGTGTGTGAGCAATTCGGTCAAACCTGCAGAAGTGGAGAAAAAAAATCCACAAAGAAGGAAGTGTGGGGGAGAGAGAAAGAGAAGAGAGAGGGGAGGGAGGGAGAGAGAGAGAGAGGGGAGGGGGAGAGAGAGAGAGAGAGGGGAGGGAGAGAGAGAATGTTTAAACAACCCGAACTTCACATGACACTTACACTTCTCAGGCAGCACCTCCGGTGTTTTAAGAACAACCTGAGTATCAGTACAGGTCCCATGAACTCCCAGATTTGGCCAGCCTAAGCAGTGGGCAAAGACATCCCTACAGGGTCAAATTTTAGCCAGGAAAAAGCAGCCAAACTTTTAAATCATGCAGGTCTGTTTCCAGCTCTGAATTAAGAGTACAGGTTTTATATGCTAAAGACAAGCTGGAAACAATTGGTTGGAGCTTAATTTGATCTGTTTAAGGACAAGGGGAAAAAAAACCCAACAACTGAGAAGCATTCATGCCATAGAGAAATCTTGCGGAAAAGATCTGTAATAAGGTAATAAACTGGTGAGGGAAAGGGGGCACCTTATGGTGCAGGGAACAGAGAGCTCAGCAAGGCAGCAGATGGCTGCAGGCTTTCTGCAGTGGGGATTTTTGCATGCCAAGGAGAAAGCCAAACAGCAAGGGTGGGAGGCACCCCTTGAATATGCTGCAGGACAGGGGAGACACACCTCTCGGGGTTGGGTTCGTTCTTCCGGTCCCGGGAATGCCGAATCATTCTGCACTTGCCAATGACAGCATCCGGACGTGATATCCCCATGCCTTTAAACACCAGCCTGTAAAAAAGAAATACATTAAACACCCATGACAGGCAACAGATGTGGGATGTTCTGCCACACCTTCCACAAGTAACCACTGGTTTCGCCTGTTGTTTTAAGGGGGGTGTTGGGTTCGTTTTGGGTTTTTTTTTGAGAATGTCACTAGTGCAACTGCAGACTTGCTAACACCAAAAGGGGGGAAAGTGAGTCCCTTTCCACATGGGCACATCAGCGTGGGGAAAGACACGTTCCTCTACCAACACCAAGGATCTGCTAATTCACTGCACCCTTGACAGCTCCTCCAACGCCCAACACCTTGCTCCAGGCTGTAGACTGGAATTTGAATGGGAGGCATCTAATTTTTAACCCATCTGGAAATGAGCCATAAAAGCATTAATTTTTCAGAATATGAAAGCTGCAGTGCTTGTAGAAACTGAAGTGAATGGTGGTGAAGTAGCACGGTGGGGACACATGGTCAGAGCCACAACGGTCCCAGCTGCAACCCACCAGGTGAGGGGCAGCATGTCTGTCTTTGTGTGCTCCCTGCAAGGCACCTGCAGTTCATAGACGCAGATGCTGGAAAAGTACCTAATTTCTTCCTCTTTTTGCCTCCCTTTTCATTTCTATGTAGCATCTTCTGCTCCTCAAAACCCAAGTGCCCGAAAAAGGAAGGACTACCACCTTGCTCTGAATGCCCTGCTCCACTGGAAGATTGCCCCTTGCTTGGTTTATTAAACAGAAATGCTGAACCTCAGGAACATACAAGCAGTTTTAGGAAAAAAGAAAACAGATGGGAAAACCTAGAGAAAAGACCATGCAGAGTGGGGTTCTGCCATTTAGAAACACTGAAGAGGGCTTCCCAAATCTGAGCAACCCATGGTGATTTCTCATAGCGACTGCCCTGGGGGTGTGAATCCATGATGTAGCACAACCCCACATCTGTGCTCTGAGCTGGTCCTCAGTCGGGGGGTGGTCCAAGCCTGCCCTGTTTAACACCCTCCTCCTCTCCTGCAGTTCTGAGCCTTGCTCAGCTCCCTTCTGGGCAGGAAGCAACAGCTCACACTTAGAGCCACTTGCAGTCTAACAAACAAAGCTCTACTACCAGGCTGCAGACCCAGGCGAGCCTCAGGCTGTTTTGGACTAGATGGGTCAAGGTCTTCTCACGCCACTGCATGCCCTGAATACCCTTCCTTCGGACAGTGCTGGGAGAGCGAGAAGCGCATTGCTCCAACCCGTGCACCAGCATGGATGCTTGCAAGACTGTGCAGCAAATGAACTGTGAGTGTGTGGGGCACGAATGGGATTTTTCCAGCCAAACCCACTACCCAGCACCCCTTGGGAGCTGCAAAATGGGATGCCAGCACGCAGCAGGAACATGCTTTTGCTGAGCCAGCAGGACACATACGCACCACCTCTGTCCCCCACCCTGGGGGGTGAAGGGGAGGCTCTGCTGTTGGAGTGAAAAGAAACCCTGTGCCCCCAGCCCCGCCCCAGGCAAAAGCAGCAGGTCTGTGCTCATCCCCACCCTGGAGGCACTCTGGGTGCCAAGGGGGGTGTATTTATTTACCTGTTATAAATGTCATCATCTTCGCCACCCCAACCCCAGTAATTGTTTGGGAACCCGTTGATCTTTGTGAACTGCTCTTTGCTCAAGGCAGACACACCTCCAAAATACTGATTGTAAGGCAACCTGGAAGAAGAGAGAAAAGGACATTGGAAGAGGAGAGGCACTAGCCAAGGAGCAGCCTGTCCACCCAACAAGGACCTGCCACTGCCCCTTACCCAGGCCACGGCAAGCCAGTGCCCACTGCAAGGCACCTCCCTGCAACAGGGACCAGCACGTGGTTTGGTGCCCTGGCTGAGGCAGTTGGTGGGCTCAGTCTCAAATGCAGCTGGGAAGTATTTTGCAACTAGCAATGGCTGCAGCCTTTCACCAAGATGTACACTGTCCTCAAAAGACAGTCTGGTTAGATGCACATCATCTTGCCAAAGGACCGGTGAGATGCATGCCCTGGGAACAGCAAGAGCTCAGCAAAGCACTGGAGGTGCCTCAAAACCCTCCCTTTCTGCAGCTCCACTGTTCGCCTCCATGCTCCCAGTGCCCCAAAGGAAAGCTCACAGCCCAAAACTGAGCCAGCAGCATGACCTTGCATGCACAAAGGCAACCAGCTCCTACTTCAAACAGGGAACAATTCACCAGGGGATTGGAGACAGACAAAATTCAGATCCACAGCACAAGGAGAGGGCCCATGCAGGGATCACCAGGACCTACAGCAGACCTCTGCTTCCACAAACAGAAGAAACCGCTTGGGTCTGCATTTCTGCTCTAAGCTTCACCCAGCTGCAAGAAAAAACTGCAGCTGCTGCAGTGCCAGTGCCAATCCTGCTCCGAGCAGAGCTTGTGTCTAGACTGGAGACACCCAGGGGTCCTGCCATCAACATCACTACTGTATCTTTAGAACTACTGGTCACCATGGGGTCATGACTGGTTTTCACTTTATAGACGAGCTTTTAAGCTCCCCCTTGGGGATTTAGGCTAGGGGAAAAAAAAAAAAAAAAAAAAAGATGTATGCTGAAAGGCATTTAGGTTTGTGTTGCCCTCAGATACCAGTGCAGGGGTCCCTCGTTGGCTCAAAACTGAACAGCTAAAAATATTTCATTTTGCTCTTAAAATAGTGTCTGATGCAGTCTTTTTAAAGCTGCACATAATTCTCACTGTGTGAATGTCTCACTTTTCAGACTGGGTGGAAACACTAGCTGACTTCCAGCTTCCAGCCTGAAACACAAGAAGGGATACATGGGCATCTGCAAAACTACAGGCTCTTAGTTTTTCCTCACCCTATGTTTCACTTTCCAGAAGCTGTGAATTTTAATAAACCTTTCAGATGCGTTTCTCCCCCTTCCTCCCCTCCAGCCGATTCCGCTTGCAGCCACCCGCTCCCTGCAGGGACACACACACCAAAACAGGCTTCTGCCAGAGACATTTTCCCATGCTTTCAATGGTGGGTGGGGATGTCTAATGCTGTGCCTGTCCTGCTAGGCTAATGGCAATATTAGGAACAAAATGCCCCTCCAAAAGGCCTCTCACCGAAATCCAAATTTATCCATGGATACAGAGAGGTGGCGTGGCTGGCTGTAACATTTGTAGATGTTCCTGTCATCCATTGGGATGAGGTCTACGTCACTAAACACAAAGCAATCATAGTCATACTCTTTCAAGGCCTCTGTGAATCCGATATTCAGCAGTTTAGCACGGTTAAATTCTTCTTCTCCATCCTAATTTAAAAACAAATAAAAACAGTTAAGTGACTTAAATTTAACCGTTGACATCAGCAGCTTCTTACCTGTTGCCAGATGCTGGTGTTGCTGCACTAGGCTGGTGTGCCTGCCATGTACTGAGCTTGAGCCCAAGAGCTGCCCATGCAGCACCCATGGGAAATCTGCAATGAGCTCTCCACCCAGACTGCTGCCCGAAAGGATGATGGCATCTGAGCCAGCTGCAAAACACAGGGGCAGCTGAAATGGCTGAGAAAAAGCTGGACCTGGTTCAGCTCCCCTCTCTTGGTGAGAGGCTTCGAGAGGGCAGGTTTGATGGTGAGCAGTCCCCCTGTTTCACAGGCATGTCGGGATTTAATTTTGTGATAAAGTTAACAGACTGCCAGGACAAGCAGCTGGGGCTTCCTGCAGCAGCTGAGAAAAGCAAAGCAAGCTAAGCTTCTCTGGAAGAAGGGACCCTTGCTACAGAGAGAAACCTTGGTGGTGCTTTAGTTTACAGCCAGGACAAGGACCATGGACCAAAACCTTTCCATGGCCAAGATTACAGCACCCTCTTCCTAAACTCTGCCACAACACCGCTGCAGGACTGTGGTGTGGTCTCTGCTGAGCAGCACATGTGAGCACGTGCCAGACCCGATTTGCAAAGCATGGAGTGGCACCAGGAGCTAAGGTCTGCTGCTCACTCCTGCTCCTGCGTCAAGCCCTGGGCAGTCGTGCATGCACAGGAGCAGAATGATCCCCAGGCCATGGCAAGGGTGCTGCTGCTTCGGCACGTGGCTGTCACACACAGCCTTGGTTATGGATGGCAGCCCGGTGAGAGCTGCTTCCTTCAAGGGCTATGGCTCCTGTCCCAGAAGCCACCACCTGCTGCAGTGCACAGCCCCTTCTTTGCAGCTCCTCTGCCAGCCAGAGGACGGCATGACTCACCATCCGTCCCAGGGCAGTCACTGGGAAAAACTAAATCAGGAGGGCTGTCACTGTGATGGGAAGGACCTGAAAAGAGCTGACATGGCAGCAGGGCATGTTAATGCCAAAACAGGTGCAGTTAATGAAATGACCTGCAGAGAACTAGGCAGGATAATCTCTGCTCTCCTTCCTGTGCAACAACGTACACCAGGACAATCAGTTCGGCCTCTCAGGTAGAAATGTTTCAAAAGCACTCCTGGCTCTGAGAACAAGTATAGGCTTGCAAATTGCTTGAGTACTTTCGAAAAACAATATGATCATACCCACAAACCCAAGAATACTGGTGGCTTGAGAGTAAGAATTTTCAATCCAGGATCCAACTATGCAGCAGCAGCTTCAAACCCAAACCCTGTGCAGGGGAACAGAGCAGGCAGAAGGGAACTCACAGGACATTGCTGAAGGAGGCTCAAGTTTTTTGCCAGCCTGGAAACCAAGGCTGCCAAATACTTTCTCTTCTGCTATGATACATCCCATCTTTCCCCCTCCACACCCTCTCAGCAGTGTCAAGCCAAAGGACTCCCACACCATGCAAGCCATCCCCCCACCCTGTGGTACTCACACCCCATGTGGGAGGCGAATCAAGGATGGATAAAATATTGTACCCAAAAAGCAACAGCTTAAAACATCACCTCCTCCCAAATGGCTCTGTCTGGTTAATAAATGATCAGTTTGGAAACTGTTTAATCCAGACTGGTTAATGGACCTGCAGCTGGAGAGCCAATGCAAGTTCTTGAAACAACCACAAATACCTTTCAAATGAAGGTTCTAACATGCAAGTGTCAAACCAAGGTTTTCAAAGGCATTCATCACCTGCCTCCGGCATAAATGACTTCACAGGGAGGAGTGAGCTTTCGTGGAGGAGGATCTGAGCAAATTCTCAGCATCCTCACCCGAAACAAAAGGGTTCACGCAATAATTAAAGTGGTGGGAAGATGATCACCATCATGCATAAGCAAGAGCAGTTAAAACTTGAGGGCAGAAAATGAAGGCAAGTCAAACAAAGAGGCTAGGGAGAGGGAGCAGCTGAAGCTGTGGGGGTAAGAGGGTTTTCTTTCCCAGCAAAAGGGGCTACCCAGCCCTTGCTGCTGAATATTCCTCAGGTCCCACGACACCCAGGCCTGGCTCCATAGTCCCAAGGGGGACTTTTCCCAGTGCAGGTACAATGTGCTCACACCTCAAAGCACCTGCTGGGTCCAGTCTGGAAGAATGTCCTCATTTCACACCCTCTGGCTGCTCTTTTCATAATGAAATTTAAAGGCAATGGGTACTCCACACTGATTTTGTTACCAGTTGAGGCTCAGCCATAATTAATCCACACCACAGGTAGCCTCTAACTCCTTTGCATGACACTTAAGGATTAACAATGCTACAAGGAGCTGTGTTTTTAAAACTGTCCCTGAAAAACCCTGAAGTACAGTGCCATGACCAGACCAAGAGTGTGCAGGACCCGCTCTGCTGCCTCACCCACCAGAACCCATCAGAGCCCATACTGGGGCCCTGTGTGTGGAGAGGGAACTGACAGACGGCAAAACACTTCACATGGGCATTGCTGCTCTCCTCTCAAATGTCCACACAGCTTCACACTGTGCGATCCAAAAGGCTTGGGGTGGGGAGGAAAATCACAACCAAAAAAATAGAACAAAACACCCTCTCCAAGCCATTTTTAGTAACTTTACAGTGAGCAGGTGGCTTATGCAAACCTTGCCACGCTGTTATCAAATTGTCTCCTTTGAGGGCAAGAGGCTGGTTTTCTGTCCCAGGAGGTATGCAGAGGTTTACAGTGTATACTGGAGAAAAAAAAAATACTGAAAAGGGGTTTTGCTTTTTGCAGAAAGCTGTTTCTTTACCTGAGGCAATATGGAAGCACTGGTATGATTGTAGTATCTGAGATTCAGATCTCTCAAAACTCAGAAACATGCTGCAGGCTTCCATCTTTGACTGATCCTCAACTTTTTGAAAGAAAGAAAGAAAAAAAAAAAAAAGGCAAGCAGAGTTGGGAAATTTCCCTTTTGTGCTACTGTCCCTTCCAGGTCAGCACAGGGCATAATACTACAGGTGACCTAAGAGAGAGCAGGTAAAGAAGAACTGAAGAAACCTCCAGACCTTGCCTTTTCTTGGCAACTCCTCATCCCATGGAGGTTCCCTGTTGCTTGCTACAAGGAAATGGATCAGTTTGGACTTGCTTGGACAGAGGTGCATCATCCTGAAGAGCTAGGCAGTGCACAGGAGACTGCTGCTTTGACAATGCAGCCAAGCTCAAGACAAAGCCTCCATGCTTATTTCCTGGGCTTTCAACCAGAAAAGATGTAGTCCAAGCACATTTTTGCTATTTTTTCTTTCCTGACAATTTTTCCCTACTGTGTTCTCATCCTGAAACTTAACCCATGTCAGAGTTCAGTGCTGGTGCCCAGCACCTGTTTCTGGCTCCTGATTTTACTCAGCCTGTCTCTCCCAGCACATCCAAGTCCATCCCCATTTCCTGGTCCACAACAAACTACTGGCTGAAGGGGGACAACCTGCTGCCTCAGACCTGCAGGGCTGGCATGGAGTCCTTCTCACACGTGGAGATGATCAGTCCCAGCAAGAGAACATCCAGGCTTTTTTTCCTTCTCGTCCCTTACCTTTGCTGAATCTGGTTTGTTCAGTCAGACCTATCAAGGGATGCTACCTTTTTTTAGTACGGACAGATAAAATGGGAGTTTTTTGTAACTGTCACTCAAGCTAAAGTGCTTGCAAGCCAGCAAGAACCATCTGTCCCAATTTTGTCCTACCTCCTACTTTCATGTAGGAAGCAGCACTGTGATTCTTTCTGCAGACAGCACACCCATGGCTACATCTCTGTTACCTGGATCCTAAACTCACTGGGTCTCAGGGAGGTAATGGTGAGGATAGGTGTTTCTGGTCAGCTAGAAAAGAACCACCACTCCAATGGGAGGTTACTAGTGAAGTCAAGGATCCGCCAAGACAGCCTGAACCACACACACAAGGTCCAAGTGAAAGTCCATGCTCCAGTGGACTTGAGCAGGTAGAAACAGATTTCCAGGGCCTAACAGAGACACCAGGAGACACTTTGCTGTTTCTCTGTCAGAGGGCGTTTTGAGGCCTCAGCACCATTACATCGGGTAGCAGGAGAGAACAGCAGGGGGAACTTGCCTCCCCCACCACTGCAAGGTTAAGCAGGAGCCAAGCACAATTCCCTCCTTTGCCCACATTCCTGGAGGTCCTGATACCCTCTGCAAAATAACATGAATAAGTGCAATGCCGCAACCACTCTGCACTCACACACACACACACTTCAGAAAACTGCCTACTGAGGACATTGTGGTAACATCAGGGGCCAGTGGAAAATAGTAGAACAGTTGCACGGTTTTCAGCAAATTTGCTTAGATTCCCTTTTCCCAAACATCAGTCAGTCTGGCTGCACAAGCATTTGCACAGACTGAACTGCAGTGAGAAAACTGATTTCTAGACCTGAGTGCCCAGACGGCAATAGTTGAAGAAGCCAGGGAGCATCTGGGTAATAGCGGGAGCAAATGAGGCTGAGGGAGATGCCACAAATCCACTGCTGCCTTCTCATTTTCTGAAGTCAAGCTTGCAGGGCATCAAATGGGAGCTACAATAAGTGTGCCCAGCCATGTGGCCTCATCTCAGATTTATCTGAAAGATCCTACAACTGCTACTCCATGTGTGAGGTTTGGGTTTTGCTGTGGGTGGAGTGTGGAAGGTGAAGTGTATTTTTTCCACTGGCTCCTGTTACACACCAGACATTTTACAAACATCATCCCCCTGACTTCAGCCAAGTCCTAACTGAGGCATTCAGGCATGCAAGAACAGCATGGTGGGACAAAATGAACTGGCGACGGAAACATATTGCGCTGAAAGGAAGAAGTTTGACATTACCAGTGCAGCAGTAGCAGGGCTCAGAGCTCCTCTTTCTTTCTATGAGATGCAGAGCACAGAAGAGCACGTAGGCAGCGTGTAAGAACCAGATCACACAGTAATTCTCCTTGCTTCAGTGACTGCTTTGATATAGACAGGATTAACAAGTAAAGGTAATATTTCCCCACTAGAAGGAAAAAATAAAATAAAAAAAAAAAAAGAGGGCAGATGCAAAGGGAAGGACAGACAAGAAAAAGAGAAAAGCAATTGTCAAGACAGCAGAGAAATAAGACCATATTCCTACTGTACTTCTGGCAGAATTAATACATTTTCTGCAACTCTCTCTATTCAGTGTTCCCACTCACCCTTAAGAGATGCATCCAGTGGGTTTACTACCACTGATCACTCTGCGTCTTCCAGACACAGCTTGTTAGAGTCACGCAGAAGGAGTATGTTTATTTTACAAATCAAGTAGTTTTACTTGCTAACCTACATCTGACTGCTGGATGTGTCCAGGACATATATACCCTCTGTACTGCATGTCACTCCTGCTCCAACTTTGCTCAACAGATGTGTCTGAAAAAAACCACCTGCTTCAATCATTTTTGCGAGAGTTAACTTCAGAGCACACAGACAGCCCCACAGCCCTAGTGCTGGAGGACAGAACCAGAGAAGAGGAGGAGCCAGCAATGCAGGGCAATACAAGCCAGCACGCACCACTGCAGCAGCAGGAACTCCAACCAGGCTTCGGACACTGCCCATCTTTATGGATGCCAATGCAGCTCCATGTGATGGGGACCCTCGCTTTCCCTACCCTTGAACACCACTGATGGGGAAACATCAGCACTGCCAGCTCTTTACAATGGAGACAGCCACTCACCCACGAGTGGTGCACCCCCAGAACACAGGCAGGCAGCTTTCCCTGGTCCTCTGCAGAGGCAACCGGTGTGCTATGCCTGGTCAGGAAAGCAGCAGTTCCCGCCACAGGACCACTGCTAGAAGCCACATTGCACCCTCACTTCCAAGCCACACTCAGAAAAGGGCGGCATGCTGCCCCGCCACCTTCACCCACCTGCATCCCAGTGACCAGTGGGGACCATGGCTTAAGCGACCTTGTGGCACCAGTAACTTGCACAGGCAAATGCCTCACATGAAGGGAAATGCAATCTGAAGGATGAAGGGCTGGGGCTAGCCACCATTGCTGGACTGCAGAGGCATCAGCTGTTCTTAGCATTACACAAGAAGGGTCTCCTTACAGGGCTTAATTTTAGGGCACAGGCTGCCAGTCCACATGCTGCGGAAATACCTTGTGCCCTCAGCAGCAACATGGCCACCAGGCCACAAGCACAGTCAGAGCATCTTGGCTGTTGTGCTGGGGAACTACTGCTAATTTCCCACAAATCCCTTTTGCTGAGATCACTGGCACCCTGGAAATGAGCAAAGCAAGAGAAATAGTAGTAACAGAGTACTGGTTTTCTCTCTAGAAAAAGGTCTTCCCTTACTTTTAATTCTGTGAAGAAATTTATTGCTTGGGAGACCATTTTAAATATTTATGGTGTTTGATATGCCCAAACACACCAGCTGATCTGCAAATTTAAGGTGGTACATTTAAAGCAGCATGTTATTTAATCTCAGTTTTTACAGAGCTGAGAAAACAGGATATAAATGTATATTCAAGAGAGAAACTGCACTGTGAGATTGTTTAGCTGCTGGTCTCTGCTAGGGCTCTCAGAACTGCATCTGCCCTTTCACGCTGCAGCCCATGCAAATGCCTACACATTTTAAGCTTTTCCAAGTGTGAACAACACTCACTTATTTAACAACCATTATGGTATTAATTAAGACAGCTTGTTTGGAATGCAACATGCCTTTTTTTTTTTTTTTTTTTTTTTAGGCCATTGGATATTAAGGAAAAAAAAAAACCACCACACACCCCTATCACTACTTGTTTCTGTTCTACTACCTTAAAAGAGTAACTCACCTGTTCCAATGCCAGAGCTTTGCTTTCTCTGTACTGACACTTTGTGCACTGTTACACTAACATAAACAAAAGTTGCTTGAGAAAGTAAGTGAAATCCTGTGGCTTTATGGCACACTCAGTGCCAGATTAGCCATTAACACTACCATGTCACCTTAAAGATCCCATATGCAATTCCTGCAGCCATTGGGGGAAAAGGAACATTTGGAAAGAGATATCAGATTGGGTTGTGCTATTAGGGATTTCTTCAAGCAGAAGCTCTTTAGAGTGAATTGTGCCTGGCCACAAGAGGGGACCTCAGGTTTTCCATCAAAATCAAAGCAAAATTGCTCATGTTCATTTTCACTTTTCTTTTTTCTGCTATAGTCTTTTTATTTTTTTTTTAAAAAAGGAAGCAACCTTATCCCTGCCTGCCAGCCCACTGCTGTTCAGGATAAAGCAACCACTCCTCTGTTTTAGGGAGCACAAGCACCATTATGAGAGCAGCATAAAGCCCTGTGTCATTAGCATCTTACCTGGTTGATAACATATACACCATAATCTAGTTGCTGCCTTTGGAGAATTGGGTGCAGGTAATAGAGCCAGTACTTCAGATGCTCCTCTCTGTTCCTGAATGGTATGATTATTGCTACTTTCTGAAGTGCTATGCAGTCCTTTGGAGCAAAACGACCTCCTGCTTTGACCTCTGGGTTGATTCTCGCCACTTCTTCCAGGTTCACAGGCTGGGAAAACTCCACACGTAGTGCACCAACTGGAAGAGCAGCACAGCACAAAGTAAGTTAGCATACACAGTCTGTTTCTCTAAGCAAACATCTTTTATGCATATTCGGTTGTTGTTTTGTTTTTTAAAAAGAAAAGTTTTGAGCCAAATAAAATCCTAGAGGTGCATGAAGCTGTTGAAGCTTGGACTAACCATACCCAAAGCAACCGCACAACACCACTCAGAACAAACCCGCAAACGCTGTAGCCTCTTGGTATCAGGCCCCAACTAAGTCGCTAACACGAGATGAATCTTGAAAATCCTCCTATCTGCGTGGCAATCCAAGAGCTATGCTCCCACTGACACATGAGCTATGAAACCAGACTAGAGAATAGTGTAGCCCTCTGTTCTCCCACCCACCTTGCACAGCGCTAGAGTTGAGCACTTCAAAAATAGTCTTGGTCCCCTAATTACTTATGTCAAGGCTAACCACATGCAAAGTGAACAACACCCCCTTTCTTGTTTTTTTCTTATGGATACTTTCAGTGTTCTTCAGGCATGCCCATTATTTATTACAAGTTTTGTATTAGAACAGCTAAAAAAAACACGTCCAGATTTGCATGCAGGTTGGCAATTCCTGCACATGGTTTCGACAGCAGCAAGTTCTGAAACTGCCAAAATAATCTGTGCCAAAACTGATGTGTAAAACTGAGAAGCCCCCCTGGCAGCACAGAGAAGACAGCAGTCTCTGAGCTGCTCAAGGCCAAGCTCAGGGAGAGAGGGCAACAGCAGCCCCGGGCACTGTTAGAGGTGATGAGACCTACTTTGCAAGGCACCCTATATGACTGCTCTTTGCTTGCCATGTCTCCTCTGCCTGGCCATGCCAGCTACCTTACCTTACAGCTGTAGGTGAGTCCTGGGCTGAACAAAGCACCGCTGACCACAGCCTTTTTGTGGATGCCTTCTTTTAACATGCATGCTGGCCCTCCTGCAATATTTGCTTCCAGCTGCTCCAAGCTGCTTCCAGACAAACTGACTGCTACAAAAACCTAACAGGCACAGTAGCTGCCTGCAGCTCTTGTTGCCATGTCCTGCTCCCAGCAATGGTCGCACATGTGTCTCAGAGCTACTGTCTCCTCTCTGCATTTGCTGAGGAGATCCCCAGGCCCACTGGACCGCACACAACAGCATGCACATGCCAATGGTGGGCACACTGCACTTATGGAGCCCCTTGAGAAAGGGTGCAAGTGATTTTTTAGAGCTCTAAAAGGACACAATGAACCTTGTGCATATCCCAACATGGGACTACTAAAAAAGCAGAAATAGTGCTCCTGGCTCGTGACTCATTCACTTGTTATTTAGCTAGAAGAAGCTACTTTAGTTTGCTTGTGCTGCTCCACAAACCTGTGCTCGCTCAGGCTGGAGATGGCAAGGAGACCAGCCAAACAGGCAGACGTGCTCTGTGTACTGCCATAGGCAGTGAGGAAGCTCTAATGCCTGATTGACTGCCTGCACCGCACAAGACAAGACCTTGCAGAAACAGGCATCACAGGCAGGATGTAAAGGAATATGCATTTTGCACACATTAAATGGTCAAGTTTGCATGTTCTCCTCTCACACAAGGAGAAGGCAGCCATTTCTCAGACTCCAGGCACTGGGATCAGTCTGCCCATGCTCTCAGCACTCCCACAGCTCCCAGCTGCATCCTGGACATGTCTGCCCAGATCCACACTCTCTCCACCCCACGGTGCAAGCTGGGTCCTGCAGATGCCTGCCCTGTAGCTGCACAGCCAGGGCTGAAGCATCTTTGGTCGAAAAGCAGCTTGAAGGGAGAGCTCAGAGGACATTCAGCAGTGGGAGGAAGAAGCAATAATGGGAGGAACTGGGGCAGGAAGGAACATCCAGTGGCATGACCGGGACCGGGGCTTAGTGGGGTCAGGATCAGGGGCCCGGCACAGCTGCCCCCATGCCAGTGGGACAGGCGGGGGGCAGGTGCCTGAGCAGTGAGGCCAGTGAGGGTGGTAAGGGGAAAGAGTGCATAGCTTCCTCTGAATTTGGGTACCACTGTCATTGGTAGTGGGTGCTCTCTCAGAACAGTCCTGGCCTCAACCCACCTCCACGCCTGCATCCCCCTGCCCATCACTCTGTCCCCCCAGTGTCACCCCCATTAGGAGACCAGCACTGACAGTAAGGATGATGTTACACTTCCGCGTGTTTAAAACAGCAAAGGACATTGCACTGGGCACAGTTCACCTAACCATGGCCAGCAAATGGAAATTACGCCAGGCATCTGTGCCCAGGGATGCCATTTTCCTGCCTTGATGGGACCTCACAGCCAGCAGCGGGACCAGCGCGGCGGGAGGAAGCAGCAGGGCGGAAGCAGCACATCCCCTCCATGGGGCCCTGCCAGCACAGCCGCTCTCAGGCACCGGGCGGCTGCTGTCCCACCGAGCAAGCCCCTTCCTGCCGGCCGGGGCTGCGCTCTCTGCTCCTAGTTGCTGCTACTGAGAAACAACGTCAAGCACCCTCAGGCTGGGGGATGCTTTCTGGTTTAACGAACAAAGGATCTTTTAATGTCTTGCACTCACACAGCGTAAGGGAGGAGGAAATGAAAGTGCCGTTTAGGCGAATTTACAGGGGAAATCTGCCGCTGGCGGCTTCTGAGCTCCAGCTGGGCAAGGACAGCCACAAGTGTTTGGACACTGTAAGCAGGGCTTTTTGCAGGCTGGCACCTGCCAGACCCCAAGGCCAAAAGAGGACTGCTCATCCTTCCAGCACTTGCTCTTGTTTGTTTCAGCCGCCTGAAGACATCGGCAAGGAAAAGATGGGAGAGGTAAACACATTCATGATAAAAAAACATTTGCGGAAGACAGAGATTTAACAGCTTCAGAATCTTGAAGAACACTAGTGAGAAACTACCTGTACTGCTACAACCTCCATCTAATCATATCAGTTAAAGGCAGCACACCTTCTTGCAAATGCTGCCTGGATGGATGCAGCCAACCTGAGGGTCAGTGAGGAGGTACCCCAGGCATCAGCGCCATACATGTACAACAAGGCAGCCCCTTCTGAGACAACCTTGATGCAAATCACGCAGTTAATATACTCAATGGTTTCAGTAAGAATACAAAAATGTATAAAACCTGAATAGGCCGTTTTAAAATACAGAATGGCTAAAACAAACTAGACCTCATAAAGCCATGTGGCTGACAAAAGGCAACAGCAACATACCACCTGCTGCAAATCAATGCTTTCAGTTCACTTCCCAAGCAGGTCAGGGCTAAAGCCAAATCTGCAAACACAGGCTTTCGAACTGGTGACCAGAGCCACAGTTCCAGTTGCTAACTCTAAACCCTTTTGACCAACATTTGACTACCTGGATAGCAAGCAGCCCCAAGGCCATAGTCTCCCAAGGATGACGACTCAGGACATGATGTGCTGATGCCAAGAAAGTGTGTGAAGTTTGCTGTGAGTGCTGTCCCACTGGCCAAAGCTGTATAACTATTTGTCTTTACTAGGTAAACTTTCCAGCCTGATTCACTCCATCTCAATCTTTTCTGCTCCATTCAATGTGACTGCCTGACATAGGAGCCACTGTATATTGAGCCCCTACTAAAAACAGGCTGGCATGATAGAGCTATGTGGACTTGCAATTCTGACCACCCATCAGCCCCAGATTTGTAGGCAGACAATTTCTGGGTTCAGAGTTACAAAGCTCCAGCAGAGAAGCTTCACAAGCCTTCACCATATGTTTTAGCAAAAGAAAACCTTGGAAACACGAATAAGCAACTGCCGGAAGCTTGCAAAAGACACAAAAGCACGGCATCACATCCAAACACTTCAGAGATTGTAAAAGGAAGTTTTAGCTGGCAGTGGTAGGGTAAGAGAGAGAGAGACACCAAAGAAAAAAAAAAACAAAAAAGCCAACCCCTGCCAGCCCCCATCTCTGACATCAGAAGCACTTCTGCTCAAAGGGAAGGTGCACAGGAAAGGCGCTGTGCCAGCACAGATGCTCGTGGGCCGCCATGAAGCACACAAACAGGAAGCAGCTTCTCACATAAAGCAAAAGGTGAGACTTGCAAAAAGCCAGAGGCAGCGCAGCACTCAAGCCTCAGGAACCCAGCCCACAGCCCTGGTGATCTTCTCACACCTCCCGCTTCCCAACTGCCACGCTAAGGCTGCCAGCACACGTCCTCCCCAGCACTCATTCTGGTGTCCCAAATGCACAAAAAGCCCAGAATCCACTCAGCCTGATGATATAATTAATCTAGAGGCTGCTCCAGCCTCCCTGGGCCACAGATACTACAACTGTTGGGAAAACTCAGCAATGCACCACAGAGCTAGAACCATACTCTTGCATGCCCAGGGCGCCTGCGAACAGGATGGTGCCACGCTCCATGCAAGAAGGTAGTAGCGGGTGATACAACACAGGGCAGCAGCCACGAAAGGCAGCCCCAGAGTTTCAGATGGGATAAGAAGGTGGGGGGGGCTATTACCCAGGAGGGCAGTGCAGCCCCAGTAGGAGGAGATGAGAAGGAGGGCAGCTGGGCTCATGGGCAGGTTTGAAGAGGTGAACCAGCAGACTGAATTGCCCTCCCAAGCACTTCACAGGGAAAAATGGCAAAAATCACCTGCACCCTTTGATCTGGGTGCAAATCTCAGGTTTTTTTATTTAAACTTAGTTTCAATTTAAACTTAGTGAGAATGAAAGCAAAAGCATATAACACGGAAGTTGGAAAAAATGTCTCCCCAAACAGAAGAGAAAAGAACATTTCCATCGTCCTGGCTGAGAGCCGGGCACGGTTCTCTAGCCACCGAGCCATGTGCACACCTGCACTGCCATGCTCAGACAAACCTCATGTGTAAAGAAAGCTGGAAAAGAGAAGCAGAACTCGCAGAAAGAAAAAAAAACAACCTCTCTTTGCAGGGGCCCAGAAGGGAAGGGCTTGTCGGTTGCACCAAAGTCTGACTGGGAAAACCAAAACCAGCTCCACCCCAGAGAACTCGAGGGCAAGTCCCCCCACCGCAGGCTGTGGAGCAGGGGTCTTGCTCCAGCCCCCAGACCCA